AAAATGTGGTACTTGTTCAGTTTTAAAAAACTTTCATTTCTCCCAGTTGTCCCATTTGAAGAGAAGTAGGTGTCAATGCAAGAAGCTGCAATTTTCTTAAAAATAGTGTAGTACTAAAAAAAAGTAAAGGGGGCACCAGAAATAAATTTATCAATTTAGGAGAAAAGGAAATGAGTCTTTCTAATAACCACTTCTTTGACCCCATCTAGCTTTGTGCGATATTAGCTCCTGCCAGTCAGTCTTCAGCTCTTGCCCTGAGCTGTATTTTCCGAGGAAGCTACAGAATCCTTGACCATTAAGGACCTTAGTGGCAGAAGACCTGGATCTGCCAGCTGCCAGGCTCCAGGTACGTAATTAGTTTCCTCTGGGACCTGATTCTCTCATCTGGAGAATCAGGAACACATGAGATGACATTTGCAAAATATTTTGCAAACTCCAGTGTCCTACATAAAAAAATGAGGTATTTTTGTAATACTATCATTATTTTCTTATGTCTCAACATAAACTTTGGATTGCCATGTTTCACTTGCTCCTGAATTTATCCATAGTGACACAAACAATTTTTAGTTTGTTGTATCAATTCTGATTAACCTCACAGAGTCCTTTTGACAACATGTATTGATTTTAGTATCTTTCTCCTTGACCTTTCCAGGCCTTCTGTGGTTCAGTTCTTTTGTAGGTTTAGGTATCTCTTCTATGCGCTCTGTTGATATCGTATATCATAGCTTTTCATTAATGGTTTTTCATTGTGTGTTAAATTTCAGTAATAAATACAGGGCTGATGATATTGAGTCTGTTTCTCTTTTGGAATTATCTTCGCTGTATCTAACACTCTCGAGCTCTGTTCTTTCACATATCTGCTAAACCTCTGAGAAAATCTTTAGTTACATTAATTTCAGAAGCAATTCTATTTATACAACATAATATTTTATGTCTTTTTTCCTTTCATGTGTTGTAATTTTCAGGCTAAATGTAGAATTAACTTTGTTATGAGTTCATCTTCAATTAATTTCCATGCTCATAATAATCTCTTAATCGTATCTCATGGTTGGCTGAGAGAATATGATCAAAATGTTACGAAAAACAAGGGCGCTAATGAACGAGAGAACAGTTATCCAAAGACAAAAAAACTCCACTTTCTTTTAAGAAACACTTAATACTAAGTAAGAAAAGATAAAATAAAGGCCTATCATTTATTACTTAACACTGAGCAAAAAAGTTATGCAAATGAAATCCTGTCACTAAGTTCTATTTGTGTCCAGAAACGCAGTTTTCAAAGGCTAACCCAGCCTGTCAGTAGCAACTTGCAACTGGCCAAGTGCATTAATCTTCTCAAGTTGAGTTTTCCCTCCCCAGGTAGAAGTAACAATGTTAAATGCTTTCACTGCCTAGCAGGGGTACAAGAAGAATAAACATAATACATTTTAATTGTTTTTAGTGCAGTGTATGGCATGCTGTAGGTGCTCAATAAGAGTTAATTATTTTGTTACGTAACACAGGATTTCAATCTAAACTGATACATGATAACATGAGATATCATGCCTAAATAATAACTAAAGTATACTTAGTTTTAATTTCATTTGATATTATGAAGTATCAAGGATATTTAAGACTTGATCTAACAATTGTCTTTGTTTACTAGATATTACCCAAACAAGTTAAAAATAAAACATGAATATGCCAAATATAATTAATATAATAATATATACTTAATATAAGACGTTAATGTAAAATGTTGATATTCTGTTAATAATTTCAAAGTAATTTTAAATATGATAAATTATAAAATGCCCACTGTCTTTATTGCTATTATTCAAGTATAGAACTTCTTCTCCCTGAAACTGTGTGTTGATGCCAATATTACAAAATGGCACAGCCACTATGGAAAACACTATGAAGTTTCCTCAAGAAAATAAAAATGGACCTGCCATATGAGCCAGCAAGCTCACTTCTGCGTATTTATCCAAAAGCACTGAAACAGGATTTTAAGGCGCTATCAATGTCTGGCACTTTAAGAGCAGGGACTCACAGAAAAAACTAAGGGCTCTCAACGAGGGCCCTTAACTGTCTGAAGTGAACTTCTCTTACTGAGATTTAAATAAAGGCTGGGAGGTGTATTCAAAACCAGGACATATGAATTTCACAGGTGAAAACTTGGGAAATCTTTTTGTGAAATTTGTTTTGAAATGTCGGAGCAAGAAGAGATTCACACATCTTTTATATACAGTTAATACTGCGGTAGTTCTCAGGAAATTCTTACACTTTCCACAAGCATGCCCTTTACTGTATAAATAACATTTCATTAGCATACTGTCACTTTTAATAAGCTTGAGCTCAGAGGAACAGCTGAAGCTCAGGAATAACAATTGAAGAAACGAGAGTCTCACAGTGAAAGGCTGGAAAGGTAAGACCTTCTGTCAGAACCTCACGCCATCACCAAATATAACACTTAACAGCAGTTATGGGAGGGAGAGGCTGTCACCTCCTTCTTAGAGGAGACTGAGGCTCAGAAATGTCACCTGATTTGTCATCCAGCAAGATACTGGCAAGCAGATAATCAACTTCATGACTCTAAAATCAATAAATTACCTATGATTACAGCTATGATCTTAATAAAAACCCCTCCACTAAAAACAAGCATACTTTGTGGCCCAACATTTATAAATTGCAGCTAGAATGTGAAGATCTACATATTACTTTAAATAGCTTTATTTTTAAATATGCTTCTTAGGAATTTAGTTGATAATGCCCACTCTCTAAGCAATCTGAAAAATCCAAGCCCATCTCTCCTCCTGCTCATAGCCCCCAATGGGCATGGGTTGGTATTCATGCCTGAGAGCAGATGGGTGCTAGGATACACAGGAAAAACCATGTGGGATGGGAGAAAAAAGGTTGTACTTCTGCCATAAATGAGCAGATTACTCCAGTGTGCCACAATAACACCTACCTGGAAGTACATAGCCAATAGATCCACTTTGGTGGGGAAGGGAGGGAGGAAGGAAGGAAGGACAGAAAAAACCAACTACAACACTGAAGAACTGACATTAGGCTCATTGAAGACCTGTATGACATTTATCTGCATTTGAAAACTGATGTTATATTTATTTTGTAAACCATAATTCTGTGAACTTGGATGTAAAAAAAAGCAATAAATAAATTAATCCTTTATGAAGACATTCAGTTTTTACATTATGGCCAGGCGTATCTCACACATGTGCACACACATACACCTGTGAATACACTGAAGATACACTATACTTAATATAATTTGTCTTTCATTAAAGTGATTTTTAAGTGTAATTATAGAAGTGAATTTGCAGTAAGAAAATGAGTGACTTGAGATGTTAGTTCTGAGTTTTCTAAATTGCAAAGTTAAAATGCAAGATCAACTCAGGGCATCATCCCTGTGGTTTTCAGGCAGACAGGACAGAGCCTTGTATGGACATGAAGATCCCAGGCTCAGATGCTGAGCCTCTGGGAACAGGAAGTGATATATTTCAGCAAAGACTAAAGCTATCACATTTGAATTGTTTTCCAAGAACAGGAGAATGTTCACAGATTTACCCTTCATGTTTTAATAAATAATTTCAAAATTCAGTATCTGAAATAGCAATAAACATTTCATTGCAAATCAGACAATAAGATTTTTCATGGTTGAAATTTAATTCAGGCCGGCCTGCAAAGAAATGCCTCTGTAATCAGTAATAGCTTCTACTAAAGTTACTGCAATATCTGCCAGTGCAAAGGGGGAAAAAATCTAATTGTAAATCCCAGTAACGGAGGCCTCCTTGGGTCACAGTAATATCTGACAAAGCATCTCATAGCCCTCTTCCTCTCTCCGAATTTCCCAAGGCTGTCTGGGGTATGTGGTTTTTGCAGCCCACAAAAACAAGCTTTACAGCAGCACAAAACATCACTTAGCTTCATCAACTAAGGGCCCAACATGCTGCAAAGACCAGTTGGAAAGATCAGTGCAGAAGGATACCAAGCTAGACTGTTTCATCATTGAACTTCCTCCCGCAAACGCCCCACACCCTCCCACCTCCCATCTCTGTGTCCACCTTGAGGTGCCAGGGGGAGGGCAAATGCGGTGCCAGCCCAGCAGCCCTCAGGGCCCAGTCGCCCTGACAGATGGCACAGGGGGAGCAGCAACAGGCCTTTGCAAAGGCGCTCACACAAGTGCAATTTTATTTTAGTGCATAAAGGGCTAGAAGAAATATGGCTTGCTAAGGCTGAAGAAAAACAGAACTGTTAACTTGTCTTTTACTTCCTCTGAACTGGCATCAGTGTGCTCTGACAACGACCCCATAAAGTTGCTCACTCCTCAGTGTCTCAGGTTCATCCTGTGTTCCATACCTCAGTGTGGGCCCAGTATGAGACCCTATCCCATTTCCCCAAGCCAAAAATACTGACCCGAGTTAAACAGGCTGTGGTTATCATAACTCAGAAACGGGAACTAAAAATCTACTAGGGTAGCCTATTCCATATGTAAATATTTAATTCCAGAAACTTCCAGGACACCCTGAATGTCCAGTATTTCCTGAAAACATTCTCATTAACCAGGGATACCTGTCTGATTCACATCGTCTAATGCATGCAGAGCATTTAATGTTTGCAGAACATCTAGCGTGTGAGAGCAACAGACACCTGCAAAGCATCCTGTGTGTACAAAGCATCCACTGGCTGGTCATTTCATGTTTACAAAGCATTTAGTACCTACAGAGCATGTGATGTGTATAGGTAACCTAGTGTATACAGTGCATCTAATGTTTACATGTGTTTGCAGAGCATCCAGTGTTTGCAGAGATCTAATGTTCACAGAGCACCTAGTGTTCACAGAGCATGTAGCGTTTGCAGAGCATTTAGTATCTGTGGGACACTTAGTATTTGTCATTTATCTTGCATGTTCAGGATGTTTTGGTATGAAAACATCTAGCGTGTGCTGACTCTGCTCTCATAGCTCCAGGAGGGAGGCTAGGAAAGAGGAGGGCTCTACTCACCACGTTGCAGCCCACGCAGTCCGGCCCGTTCTCACAAGTCCTGCGACGAGCTTGAATGCCGCCCCCACACTGGGCTGTGCACCGTTCCCAAGGACCCCAGCCTGTCCAGAACATGTGTGGGGGGCACAGCAGATGCTCATTGCAGTATCTACAATGGGGAAACCAAGAGGAAAAGGAAGCTGCTTAGTGCAACGTGAGGTCCCAGACCTTCCAGGCTCCATCCCTGCACCAGATGTTGGACACATGGGCATGCTCGGCGTGGAGGGGCTTTTGTATTTGAAGTGGTTGCTCAGTAAAGGAGGCAGATGTGGCTCTGGCCATGCTGTGTGTGCACAAACAATGGGATGCACGGGAGACAATGAAGAAAATGCTAAACTCACAATGCAGAATGGATCTTCCTGTGCAGCCAATTAAAGGAGAAACAAACAAAAAACCCTTCAAATAGACACCCAAAAATGAGAACACATAGAAAATACCTAGGTAGGGCATTTATCTTCTAAATATCAACATTAAAAGATAAAGCAGGTTATGAATAATACCAAGTCAACAAAAGTGTATTTGGATTTCATTTTTCATTCGTGAAATCAAAATGAGGCTCATAATCCTACTAATATAAGTTAGAAGTTAAAGCCTGATTTTAGCATAGTTCCATGCCATATACTGCTTAGGTTATTGCATTTGAAAATTTATTTGCAGACTCCCAGAATGATGTCCAACCTTAATTTAAATGACTACCAGTTATCTAAAAATAGTTGAATTACTCTTTACAAACACTAGTTCTACTTTTGTGATTGAATATACTTTTACATATACATGCACATTGCCAATGCTTAGCCAAGTATACAAGGGCTTTCTTAGCTGTACATGAGTCAAATTTCCTCCTCGTTTTTCTTTTGATAGTACAATTGAAATCAAGTGAAGTTAGGGAAACAAATAACAAAAAAATGAAGAAAGAGCCTGGTATTCTACAGGTTACAATGTGTAGGGAGGAAGACGGTATTCTGAAAATAGCCAAATTAGTAAGACATATCTGGTGATCTAAAGGACTATTTAAACACAAAGTCCACCCACTCAACACAAATTTGTCTTCTAGAGAAGACTAGAATGTGAGATGTTTCTGTCTTTCTCCCTGCCCAGACAGTCTGCCTTTAGAAACAGGAAGCAGGGGGTCCTATTTGTGAGGCTAAGTCAGTTACTTTGATGTCATCACAATTAGTAAACACTTAACCCTGCAGAGGGCACTACACGAAGGGCAGGACAAAGGGTGCTTCCCTGTCACAGAGGTTTATGACCCTGAGATGAATACCAGGAAAGGGACACAAGCTCAGGATGTGCAGGGCCAGCCATCCTGTCTTAGTGAGTGGAAAACAGGTCGACTGGTAGCTGCTTCCCAGAGACTAGGAAAAGTAATTTGTGAGCATCATTTCCTGACAGAAAATACGGATAAGATTCAACAGTTTCTTCATCAAACCAAGAAAATTCCACAGGGAATATGAAGGCTCTGGGAAGAGGTAGAGTGACACAAAGAAACCAGGGCAAGCTGAAGGGAGTCAGTAGGGTAAGGCACATGGACCACTGACTGACAGTTTAAAAATAGTGGAAAGTAGAAATGGGAAGAGTGAAGTAAGAAAGGTCACTGACGTAAAAAGAACAGAAAAAGGTGACAGAAAGTTGAACCTTATTTAAGAAGGAATTAGGAAAATCCCAAGAAAATCCCACAGAACTCCAGAGGGAAAAAAAAGAGTACCATCTGAGTTAGAGTGGACAGATTTGATGGCTCGTCCTGCTGGAGCACCGGAGCCCCTGAGAATTGAGGAGCTCTCCCTGTTTGGGGGTGGGGGTCTGGGCCTCCAAAGACAGGCGAGGGGAGGCCACCAGCAGGAAGAGCTGATGGAGCAAACACCGGCCAGGAGAAACTAGACTGCCTCCATTGAAGGGAGAGGTGGTCCAAGCCAGACAAACACGATGCTGATGGAAGGAAGAGAGAAAGGGATGCACATGCGATTTGGGAAAGCAGGAATAAGATAAAGCAACTGTGTGAATATATAGAAAAAGTAACAAAACACTAGAGTCAAAAGTCAGCCTCACAAGTGAAAATGGGAGGCATGCTAACTTTCCAGGAAAGAGGTGACAGGTCCTGGCAGAAGAAGCCTCCAGAAAGTCAAGAACCAATCAGGCAAATGGTTTAGTTTCTATAACGTTTTACAAAAAAGAGCAGCCAATGGAACTGAAGGGTCATCACTATTCATCTTTTTTCACTTTTGAGGCAATAAGAAACATGAGGTTTCCCACTTAGGAAGTCACAGACAGTCTCCCAGGTGCCCGGCTCTCAGAGCTCAGGGTCACAGCCACGGACGGGAAGGACCTTCTAATTAAGACAGTGTGACCTCTAGATAAAAGAGTCCAAATAAAACTGAGGATACAATAGGTTAAAGGAATGTGACCTTAAGAAGCATGTGCAAATGAGCAGAGTTGCAACAAGGAAAGCATTTTGACTGCTCGGAGATGACTACCATGTGTGTTGGTTCATGGACTATTCCAAGAGGAAATTGCCATTTATTTTAAGAACATGTTTGGGAGCAGGAAGTCAAGAAAACTCAGAACATCAGAACTCTCGGCATTTAGTTCAAAGTCTCCACATGCAGCTTCTCTCACTGTGGGTATCACGAGAAGTAGAAGACTGCCTCCCGCTTCCAAGCCTCTCCACCGACATTTAAAAGGGGCGGGCATGCTAGGGGCCTTGGTCCAAATTTCAGCTTTCAGAAACCCAAACAAACAATAAAAGAGTAGGGAGAACAAAGGAAATATAAGACCTTTGACTTTTAATAAGAAGCATAGTAAGTGAGCTACTACTTCTCCATAGCAAAATAAATCATAGTGCACAAGAACTTGTCTCGCGTTTGCCTGTAGCACGCCACCTTTGAAAACACTCCACATGCCATTAGAGCTAAAACATGACTTAAGGAGAACCTGAACACTGCATGAAGTATAGAACTCTCAAGCAGCGTTAATCAGTTCCATAGCTGGCTACAATTTAATGTTTTCCACAACGTGCCTTCCTTTTTCTTTCTCTTTCTCCCTCTACAGTGGTCCCCGGGGAAAAAAAGCCATACTATAGTTTTGTGAATATGTCAGCCGCTTCAAGGGAGGTCAGACGGAAAGCAGAAATGTGTAGGCTCTCTCTGTCCTTTTATATCTGTACTTTTACTCACAAATCCAGCCAGAGTCTAATCAGAGGCAAAGCCCTTGCAGGCCCCTAATTCTGATTCTCTGCAATTTCAAAGAGGAAGGGTCCTTCTGGACCCTTGAGTCTCCCACCCAAACTAACATGCTCTTAAGACAAGCATCTCTTGTTAAACTGCCTTTCTTGGTCACAAACAAAAGTGGGAGGCGGAAGTTAGTTACCCTGGAAACTCTGCTTGTTCAAGGATTTTTATTAATTTATGGATCAGATCCTACACAACGGGCCAGCTGGTGGAGTCTCATTGCTCTAGTTCTCGACACAGAGCCGGCTTTTACCAAATAACAAGCTAAACAGTTTGAAATTTTATGGGCTCACTCGGATCTCTAGTGTCTTAAATCACTGACAGCCACAGATGCATTTCATGATGCATTAAAAATTAAGATTTTAATTTTGCCCATGACTGTTCATTCTCATTTTGCATTTAAAAGTTAATTAATAACCCAGCACTACATCTCCATAAATTATCCGTTTTTCCACAAACCTAGTCTCTGTGAAAAGAACTGCCTTTCACAATCCTTTAGACTTTATTTTCAACACCCTATCATGTTTCTTTTCATATTGCATTATGCTATAAATTGTATTCTGTTCTGGTTAGATCCATGATAGCTTCTCACTGCAGCCTCTGTCCGCCTGCACCAAACAGAGCCCAGTCAGAACTACTTTCTCCTTGGTTCTCTCCAAATGATAGTCCCTTTGCTGGGATATACTGAAATAATGGGATCTTTGTGACACCAGAGAATCTGTACATACAATGTGAACACCATAGTATTAATTTTTTTACCCCAAGGAAAAGCTCAGCGAACCCATGAGGGGAAAGTAATGACTTGCAAAGAGCTCACTCAGGATTGAGTAAACACACGCATGAAGACAAAGAATCATGTAAGAACCACCCCCACCATTCATTCCTTCCACTGTTAACTCTAATCTGGTGCCTGGCTCCCCGCTCCTGGAATTCACACCTGTGAATCCCCTCCTGTGCAGTCTTGGAGGAAGCTGTGATTTGCTCCTAATGAAGAGAATATGGCGATAATGGCAGGCTATCATTACATAAGATCGTAATGCCTTTATTTCAGGGAAGCTCTCCCTTGCTGGCTTTGGGGAGGCAGTCGGGCTGGAAAGGCCCAGGTGGTGAGGAAGTGAGGGCAGCTTCTGGCTAACAGCTGCAGTCCCTCCGTGCACAAGGCGCGCGATGCTGAAAACGACCATGGGATTTGGGAAGCAGGCCCTTCTCCAGCTGAGCTTCCGGGGAGACCGCAGTCATGGTCTACACCTTGGTTGCAGGCTTGTGAGATCCTGAAGCAACGTATGCAGGTAAATTGTGTCCAGATTACGAACCCACAGAAACCATGAGCCAATAACCATGTGGGGCTTTCGGCAGCTTAGTTTGTGGTAACATTATTATGTAATAACTAGTAAAACAGATTTTGGGACCTCCATGTGTGATACTTCTGTAAGAAATACCTAAAACTGTGAAAGTGACTTTGGGATCCAGGAATGGCGAGAAGAAGCAAGTAGAATTTTGAGGAGCATGGTAGAGAAAACCTAAATCATCTTGAACAGACTGTCATTATAAACCTACACTTTGTGAGCTACCAGTGAGGGTTTAGAATGACACAAGAAGAAGAATTGCAACTCAACAACAAAACCAACTCAAGGAGAAAATATGTAAAGGACTTGAATAGACATTTCCTCAAAAAATGTATACAGATGGCCAATGGCACATGAGAAGATGCTCAGTTTCATTAGTCTTTAGCGAAATGCAAATCAAAACCACAATGAGAAACCACTTTATACCTACTAGGATGGCTATAAAAGAAAAAAAGTAAAGTAAAAAGGATTGTTGGTGAGGATGTAAAAAAACTGTAATCCTTGTATATTGTTGGTAGGAACATAAAATGTTTAGCTACTGTGGAAACGAGTTTGGCAGTCCTCAAAAATCTAAACTTAGAATTAGCATATGACCCAGCAATTGTACTCCAAGTTAAATCCACAAAAGGAATGAAACAGGGACTTGAACAGACTCTCATATGCCAGAGTTCACTGCAGCATAATTTTCAATAGATAAAAGGTGGAGCCCTGGCTGGTGTAGTTTTGTGGATTGAGTGCCAGTCTGCAAACTGAAAGGTCACCGGTTCAATTCCCAGTCAGGGCACATGCCTGGGTTGCGGGCCAGGTCCCCACTTGGGGGTGTGCAAGAAGCAACCTTTCTCTCACACGTGGATGTTTCTCTCCCTGTCCTCCTCCCTCCCTTCCCCTCTCTCTAAAAAAATAGATTTTAAAAAATCTACAAAATAAAAGGTGAAAATAATCCAAATGTCAACTGATGGGCAAATTAACAAATAAAATATGGGATGGCCATGCATTCAAATATTATTCATCTTTTAAAAAAATGAAGTTCTGACACACGCTACAACACAAATAAACTTTGAACAACATGTTCAGTGAAATAAGACAGAGAGAGGATGGCAAAAATTGAGTGATTCTACTTATACAAAATATCGAAAATAGGCAAATTCATAGAGACAAAACATAGATTAGAGGTTACTAGGGGCTGGAAGGAAGACAAAATAAAGAGTTATTGCTTAATGGTTACAGAATTTCTATTTGGGGTGATGAAAAAGTTTTAGAAACAGTGGCTATGGTGGTACAATACTGCGAATGCAATTGATGTCACTGAATTGTACACTTAAAAATGGTTAAATGGCAAATTGTATGAGATATGTGTGTATGTGTGTGTATATATATATATATATATATACATACACACAGAATAAAAAACTAAAAAGAAAATAGGAGCATATTACTGGAAACTAAAAGAACAAAGAGCTTTTTCATACAAGGCAGAAAGTTTCCAAAATTGTTGCTGAAATGATATGGAAAGCAGAACATGTAAGTATAAAACAGTTACATAGTTAAGGAAATTCCCAGGTGAAGTACTGAAGGTGCTGCCTGGCCTTTTTTCTTCCTGTTTATTTTTAAATGTAGGAGAAAGGAAAAAGTAAGGGGAGAAGTATTAAACAGAAGGAACCAGAACTGAATAGTTTTGGCAATTCTGAGCCTCTCTTGAGGGTAAAAGGTGCTAAAACTAAGAAATCGCTCCTGAGCATGCCAGAAATGGCTGGCATAGAGTAAAACGCTGAGGATGTGATGGCACAACCTTTCGTTAACACCTCAGAAGGATCAAATGATCGGGGTAGTATTAAGTCACACAAAGGGTCCTTTAAAGAGGTCAAGAGCAAGGATGTGTATCATAGACCCTCTCAATCACAGGCAAGGTGTAGAGGTGTTGGCCCTCAGCAGTCTCGGCAGGATCCCCAGAGGAGGGACATCTCACCAACATCTGTGGGTGTAGCTTGGTTTAGTGGAGTAAACGCCAAGGCAGACCCACAGCAAAGTACGAGTTGGATTGTAAGGCACACTGAAAGTACAAATGAAATGAGGCATTAGAAAATCCAAAATTCTACTGCCAGAAAGCAGGATGATGAAAGCACCCAGTACCAAGCACATGCCACCTTTTAAGAAAAAGAAAGATTCAGGAAACAGACCTGAGGGCCCAGGAGGCACAGCCAAGAACCAGGGAAAAATATGTCCAGGCCTTGAAACTTAACTGAGTACCTCCCAACACCTGGCTGGCTAGGTCTCAGGGTCTCTACGGAGCAGTGGGTCCACTGTACTTCCCATTTCCCCCTTTCCAACAGAAATGTTTACCATGGGTACCCTCTGCCTGTCCCACCCACCACTGCACATGGGGTGTGTCAGTAGCAGATCTCATTTTAGAGGTTGACAGGCTGAGAGGAAACACGGAGGGAGCCTCAGTCACATTTGGGCCTGATTTACATGATATGGTTCTGGAATTTGGTGAGATGATTTAACGGCATAAAAATGTGTGGGGACCTTGGGCGTGGGTAAAATGCATTTTGCATGTGGGAGGGATGTCAATGACTGAGGGGCAGATAATCTATAGACTATGGCAGATACTCTAAGGGGACTCCGATGATCCCTGCCTGATCGTATCCATGTCCTGTGTACAGCCCCTTCTTGAGTGTAGACAGGGCCTTGACTTACTTCTAACCAACAGACCATGGCAAGCTAATGGCATGTCACTTTGTGATGGCATTATATAAGAGTGTAATGCCCAGCCTGCAAGGAGGCACTTTTCCTTGCTAGATTTGAGGACGTAAGTAACCGTGGCGAGAAGGCTCACTGGACAAGAAATTGAGAGTAGTCTCTGGCTAACAACTAATGAGAAACCAAAGCCCTCAATCTGACAGCCCACAAGGATCTGAATGCTGACAACAACCACATGATCTTGGAAATAAATCCCTAAGATGAGGTCACAGCTCTGGCAGAGCAGAGAACCCAGGTAAGCCAGAATGGAATTCCCGATCTGCTGAGGCTGAGAGAGAAAACATGTGTGTGGATTTAAACCTGCAAATTTATGGAACTGTTGTTACAGGGCAGAAGACCACTAATATGGATAATGACATCTGCCTTTTGATAATATTCACACAAATATCCATGGCTTCATCCTTGTTGGCGCCCTCTTTGGGAATAGATGCTACTACTCAGTTCCTGATACTCATGAAAGTCATTTTGCAGGTAATTTAGAATACACAGTGTCCATACATTTTAGTTAAAAAAAAAAGAATCAGTCAGATATTTTCTTTATCTATTACTTAAGAAAAATTATATGAAGAGTTCTGAGATTTTTGTGGCAATAAAGCTCCCATGGAATTATTCCCCACATTGGAGATTTGTCTCAAATGAAAAGTTGCTAACTACCATCCTGGCTTTAACATAGGGACATTTTAGGGAAGAATCAATTTATTCACTTGTGGCCTCTTAGGAGTTCTTTAGGGTTGACAGAGTTTAAATAAGCACGAGGTGATTGTGTTAATGATTTTGGATGCTTACACCTTGGGCCCTTATTCGTTACAATGCAGATCATTTCCTTTAACCTTACGTTTACTTCTCAAATGTTTGTAATGGATACTATTCCTTTATATTACTTAGGTGGAGAGATCTCCTCCATAATGTGGCAAAAAAATCTAAGAACTATTTTATTGTGAAGGCCAAGCATATATTTTTTTCTAGTTTTCGTTAACCTCTTTCTAAGCAATTAGAAAGGCTATTCAATGGGGAGGCTTCAATTTGATAAAAATCTGAGTCCCAGTTCTTACCACCCATCCGCTTACTACCTAAATCCAAATTTCCTCCATTAACCAATATTCCTTTAGACCAAAGGAGCATTTCTTCAGTTTTTAAAAAAGGACATTTTAAATGTAAGTCCTCCAAACACACTGGCCATCCTCATTTTTTTCCTGAAAACAAAGCTTTAAGAATAATCATTGATGGATACTGAACATACATATACTTGTATGTTTACCACAGAGTTAGCAGCTTCGTCCCTCCTGTTTGCACAGCATGGGAAAGGGGTAAGAGGTGTGAGGTTTGTGGAGGGGCCATGATGCTAAGGGCGGCTTCACACAGGTGAAGGTGGCTTTACCTGAGTGGGCAGTGTTCTGTGACAATATGTGGCATTTTAACCTCCCAGGCAATTTTAAATCTTACCAGGCTTAGAAATAGCAGGGAGACCTCTCTTCCATAATCAGTTTTCTTACTTATCAGCTGGTGTTAATTCTGAAATGACAGACTTCTGCAAGAGTATCTTGGGGGATCGACTTCAAAAATGACCATCCCTGCTTTGTAAAAATCACCTATGAATTTCTTTAGTTGAAAGGAATAAAAATCTTAATTGGTAATTTAGGAATACAGTGAAGGAAAAAAAGAATGATTTTTGTCCAGTTGTTTTGAGGTTGTAATAAATACCTAGCGGAGAACTATCTGTTCAGTAAACCTGTGTATAAATATAATATATAAATATTATATTGTGTGTATAAATATTAACCACATAACAATGACTGCGTACAGAATTTTATGAGGCTCCAGTGAATCCATATCACTAGATACAAGCCTTACTACATTTTAATTAAAAGGTATTGAAAGTCATTTTCTTTCCCATGGGATTAATACAGTAAGTTTATGTGAGTACAGCACAATGAGAATCCTGAAAGTGATGTAAAAATCACCTACTTGGATATTCTCCAATGACCATAAATGGGAATGTATTTAAATATGCAAAAAAGACTCAAATATCACCATTGTAGATTGTATGAGACCAAGTAAAATGTTGGATTCTATAAAAACCAACAGACTGTTAAATGAAAGACTGAATTGAAATGTCCTGGTGACGTCCTTAAAGCTTAAAATACACATGGAAAAGAATGCCCCACTCTGGGTCATACTGTAGCTTCATTGAGGGCATTTGTTAATAGAAGGATATATACCAGGTATAAATACAACCACAACCTTGAATATGTTCTCACCTATCCTCCAGCTATTTAACACAGCTCTGATGGAGAACTTGACTTCTCTGGCCAATATATCTGGACCCAGGGCCGCCTTAGGTCCTACACAGAACTATAGGTTTTGAGACTGCTGTAGCTGAAAATTCTAACAAACACAAGCTTTCTCCAGCAGACTCACTTGCTCACTCTCTGGAGAGCCCAGTACAGACAGGGACAGGGTGCTCACTATCCCTGGGTCACCACTCTGGTGGGACTTCCGTAACAGAACCATCCTTTCAGGGACCACTGCAGCCCAGGGACACGGTCAATATGCGACTCTGGTCAAAATTTAGGGATGTCAGGAAGAGGAGGACAATTCAGCTTAACGGACGGGAATGCCACAAAAAAGCTAAGCTTGATCCCAAACTAAAGCCGCGGGGAAACTGAACGCACTGGAGGGGCAGTGAGCGTGAGGAGAGCGATGCTGGGGGCAGAGAGGCACGTACCTTTCCTCGCGGTTCTGCCCCACACACACCCGGCCCCCGTGCCGGGGCGTGGGGTTGCTGCAGGACCGCTGGCGCACCTGGAAGCCGATCCCACAGGTGGTGCTGCAGGGAGACCAGGAGGTCCAGGGGGTCCAGCCTCCATTCCTAGGGGGGAGGAAGCAACGTGGTCACTGAGTTAAATTGGCTCAGAGTCCATCCCCCATCTGCATCCACCTCCAAATTCAGGTGCCTCCTCACATGGACCACCTGGTTATGGGCTGCAAAGGTAAGAGGAACTGGGGCCATGAGACTAAATGTATTGCATCATGGGAATCTCAATTACTGTGAGATTTTTCTCCCATGTATCTGACTTTAGAGCCAAGGTAAGAAATTTAAGAGTGACATTTTAAGTGAACTGTACATAATGCAGAATACATCTTATTAGAAACTATTAAGAAACTTCAGTTATGAAAATATAAATCTAATAAGAAATGGTAATTCATTGAAAAACAATTAGAGATGAATCCCTGAATGTTTAGAATTTATGCTTCTACTTGTCTTGTACTATTTCAGTTGTAACTTAAAGTGCCCGTGTGAAGAAAATAATCATTGATGTCTACATGTAACGTTTACTTTTAAAATCAATGAAAATCAGTATTTCTCTTGGTAGCATTAATGCTGATATAGAACATAGTAATGTCTGAAGTTTTAAAACAAACTATATTAAAAATGAAGGAAGGATATTTTAAATTCAGATTCTTGGCTATTTTCTTGCAACTTGACAAAGATACAGAGTATAAATAAGGAGTGCCAACTGTGTATATCTGAATTTATTTGTTATTTATATATGGATATAAAATAAGGCATATATATTAAAAGATAAAATAAAATGAACCACTCTTATAAAATATAAAATACCACTTTTAAAACATAAAATACTCCTATGGTCATGGCACTGTAGGTGCAGGGGGATAGAGGAGAAAATTGAGTATAGTTATGAATGAAAATCAAACAAATAGCCACAACAAAACAATAAGCAGAAGATACAGGAAACCTACTCAATGGATCACACTGTTCGAATGGGTCTCCTGGTTACCCAGTACTGAATGTTAACAGAGTGTTGGACACTTAGATACACTGAGGAAGCAGAGAGCCTTTTGATTAAGGACTTGGCTTCTATTATCTGTCAGGCACGGCCACAGCACATTGCAGTGAAAGCCACGTGGTGCACCCTTGGGACTCAGCGTGCCTTCCTCCAGCTGCTGAGAGTACTGGTGGCTAAACTTAGCTGAGAGGATCTAACAGCCATCAAGGGCCTTCCCAGCTATGGAGTTCCCCTGAGAACTCAGCTGAGTTCTCCACTGGGCCTGCAGCCCAGGCCTGTCCGCCCTCGACCATGGCTCCTTCCTCCCCCTCTCATAGGGGCTGACGTTGGGGCACTCTCCCATTTAATTCCTGAACACAAACCTCATGTCTCAGTGGCACTCCTGACCCTTCCAGGATGAACCCAGGTTTTGCTCCCGAGTTCCATATAGGAAGGCAGGTGAGAAAAATGGAAGGCTGCAGAGACTGAACGCATTTGGATGACCAACTCCTGTCGAGGCTCTAGGCATTCCCGGACCTCCTGCCCTTCTATCAGCTGGCTGTGTTTCTTAATCTCTCTCTCTCTCTCTCTCTCTTCCCCTAACTCTCCCTGTTAAGAATTAGAATTCAGAAGTGTCATAAGGATGCACCTTCAAATATTTATTTTAATTATAAAATAAAGCATATTTTTCTCATTGGTAGTAAGTCTGACTTGGCCCCTGTTTGATAGTAAGGTCTGGCTTAGCTAGTTAATTTACTTTGTGGATTTCTTTTCATAAATTAAATGTCTTTAATCTTGCTACTCCAAGGTATTGAGAGAATATATTTAAATTATGTCCTGAGATAAAGCATATAACCAAAAATATACTTGCAAAGTGTATTAAATTAGCAATACTTCAGATTTTCCAAAAATATGTAAGCACATTGGGGTAAACAAGGTGCATATAAATAAAGAATAACAGGTTGAATTTAGTCACTTGAAGGACCTTCTTAAATGTTCTTTGATGTACTTTGCACAAATTGAGGAAGTACTTAATAATACTAACTGAGCAAAACATTTGGTCTGCCAATTAGGTGGTTTCCAATGTTTTGCTTCCAACAAAATTGAAGGCCAACATAAACAGATTACCCACTAATATAGGATATTAAAAAAAAGTTAGAGTATCATGATTTTGGCAGATAATTTTGAAAAAGAGAAGTGAGCGACAGTGCTATGATCTTACATTTCCAAATACTTATGTAGTTAATACTCATCAGCACTTAGAGCTAGAAAAATAAAACATAAAAGTAGAATTGCTGCTAAGCTCTTACCGATTCAGGCAAGAAGTTGTATTTATGCCTGAACAGGAACAGTAATTGGGAATTAAAAACAATTGCATTAAAGAATGGAATTCTAAAAAATATCTCAGATTTAATGTTAAGTAATTATTAGTCAACATGGGTAATATCAATAATACCTTGGCTAATTGTGTGTTAATTTTCAAAATACGTATTTATAAAGCCTGTACTTGTCAGAAATAAAAGTTTTTTTAAAAAAAATTCCACTTATGTAATTGTTTTGTGATAGTTGCACGGAATTATAATAGAGTAACCAATTTAAGACTTTCAGACATAAAAACATGGCACATTAGGATAAGATTCTATAAGACAACAGACTAGAAATAGGAAGTTAAAGGGAAGGACAAACATAAAATTTTTGAATGTTCAATCAGAGCCTGCTTATCAATTTCTTTAAATGGGGAGGTCACTAATTATGGTATTTAGTCTATAACATTTAACTTTGCGACAGCATGAATGGAACTGGAGAGCATCATGCTAAGTGAAATAAGCCAGGGGGCGAAAGACAAATACCATATGATCTCACCTATAAGCGGAACCTAACCAACAATACAAAGATGCAAGGAAAATATGACCAGCAACACTGAAAGGAAAAGAAATCAACAGAGACAAGAGGGAAGGGGCGGGGCAGGGAAGGGGAAGGTAAGGGGAAAGTCAAGGAACATATAGCAAGGACTCATGGACAAAACCAAAGGGGAAGAGCTGAGGGAGGGAAGGAGGGAGAGGGCAAGGGAAAGTGGTGGGGGGGAGGCAGAGACAAATGTATTTAAAAAATAAATAAATAAATGAATGAAAAAATAAAGACTGATATAATAGAAATTATATCGTTCAAAATATTGAACTTTTGGATGAAATACATTAGATGCCAATCTATAGATATTTGAGGGGGTATCTAGTTTATCAAGATTCTTTTAGGAGGCAGGTGAGGAATTGGTTGTGAAGACTATTGCACCAGAAAACACAAGTGTCCAAGTACAAACATTGTGAATGACAGCTGTCCCACCACAGAGCTATGGACATGTGTGGACATGAGGGCTTTAGCTGCTACCCTAGATGTATCCTTTAGAGACTCAGGAAAGTCAGTGGTGTGGATAGGTAGGTAGCTTCTCACACTATGAAAACTATCTGATATTGTTGCTCGCACTCTCAAGGAAGCCGCTTCAGACAATGCACACTGCTTTCTGAATCTCCACAAGGGTCGCTCACTAGTATACGGGCGGTTAGGAATAGTTTTTGATTGATGAATTAACTGGTGTCTGAGAGAGGATGAACTGATATACCATGAATGCATCTCTGTCCTCGCACACATTGGGCACAAGGTGGGGGCTTCCCCTTGAGGAAGTGTCTGCCATGGTAACAGAGGGTCCCCTTCCCTGGTCTGACTAAAAGGTGGGCAGCCGACTTCCAGAGCATCACATCCGCATATTGCAATCCTCTCATGGATGTGTGTTTCAGGGTGCCCGAGGGTCAGGGACCTGGGGCCCCATCATGTACAAGAATAGGCCGTGTCACAGTTTTGTGTGTCTGCCTAAATTTGATTTGAGACTTGTTTTCATTCTCGGGAACCACCTAATGGCAAGGGCAGAAGGGCAGGGCCTACAGTTCTCTCTTCGAACCACTGGGAGTCACTGATGCTGTCAAAAGAGACAGCTGTGAAGAGCTAAGTGGCTTAGGCGGGTGCACAAAAAATGGACTGCGCTATATCAATAAAGGACTACTATTTTACATATTCCAGAAACAGACTGTAATTGACATGGATGTTTCCCTCAAACAAGCCACTAATATTGTGCACATTAGCAATATTTTTCCTAATCTAACAAGGTACATGAGAATGGGTTCAGATTTATAATCTGCTCTAGAGTTTAAAATCTCTTTCTAGAGATTACATAATTTTGAAGTTGGTAAGCAACCCTATCTTTTTTTACCTCTCCCTCAAGGTGGGAGATATATATTAGGAATGATTCCCTGAACTCCTCTACAGTCAGTTTACACACAAAAGTAGGCCCAAGTATTGCGGGGGACGTACCTGGAACAGTTGGTGATCTCCATGCGCGGGCCTGCGCACTGCCAGCCGCCACACTGGGGGGCTGGGCTGTCACAGGAGCGGGTGCGACAGAGGCAGGTTCCCACGGCACTGCCATCTGTGTGTGTACAGGGTGTCCACGGGGACCATGCGCCGAAGTGCCCATCCACAGTGAGGTTCCTTGTCTAGGAAGCAGATACAAGGAGGGAGGTCAGAAAGGGCTAAGGCAGCAGACATAAAGAAAAAATGAGAGGTCTCTCATAAGGCAATCAAAACCCAGTTACAATGTTTTATATTACAATAAAAAGGGAGGAAATGGAATATTTCAAAGTAAAGCAAAAGAGGTCACTGGTGAAGATAATGATGGAGGAGGTGGGGGAGGGAAAAGGAGAAGGCAGAAGAGGAGAAAAAGGAGGAGGAGGAGAAAGAAAAGAAGAAAAAGAGAGAAGGAGCAGGAGAAGGAAGAGGGGAAGCGAAGCATGCTAATAGCTTGACAATCAGGTGATGGAAGAATAGTCCTCTACTGCGAGAAACCCAGGGAACAAGCAGCACTGGAGTGAAAAAGCACAGATGTACAATTGTGTTGCAATTTCAGGTAGCTTAAAAAAAAATGAAAGATTGGTCAACTCGTTGTCATTGGAGACCTGGCCTGGCTCAAATGTCACTTAAAACTAACAACATTTAATTGACTTGTCAAGTGGTTGGCACAGTGACTGCAGTCTTGGTACGGGCCCATTGGAGGTAAAAGTGTGGCACGGATCATGTGGAAATGATGTCGAGTTCCATTTTGGTCTCACAAACCCAGATGTGGTTCCATGAACCCTCCTCCTCCATGGAAATGATGGTATACGCAGATAAGACCCAGATGTAGAGGACAAGGAACTCGGGTCTCAACTGCCCACAGATCTGTAGCCTCCCCCATCTGCTGCTGGGCATGCAGGTGTTTGGCTGGAAGGCGGAAATGGGGACAGAAAATTCTCATGGAGACATAAGAAGGGACGTTTCTACAGTTTGGGACATTTTCATATTGAAAACGTTTCAAAACTTTTATTCAAATTACTGACAGGTTTGGCTCAGTGACTGGATCTGTACAGGATACGAGGATTTCCCTCCTGGGCTAGTTATTGGGAGACTGATGAGCTATGGAAAGAATGGATTTCAGAGCACAGGACTGGTCTGTGTCATGTGGATACCATGGGGCTGCTCAGTGTGTGGTGTATGGGCAGGTGGCTGTCCCTCCTAACACCACACACACACACACCCAACACACATACCTCCTGGAAAAGAGTGTGAAACCTAAAGAGCTTAAAAGTAACTGAATTTGTAAAGCAAAAAACTTGGAAGAACAACCAAAATAGTACACTTATTTAGGATACCAGCATCCATGTATCTTAACACATCATGCGGACCCTAAAATTTTACATAAAAATTTTCCTTTTCCACTATGAGCCTGCTTTTCTGTGGACCAGACCCCAACCCCAGCCAGGAGGAGCCCAGAAGCCACTCGAATGTTAACTGGAGTGTCAAAAAAAGGGGTGTACAGAAGTTGCACGGCATAAATTAACAAGGCTTTATGGTGGAGGTGAGGTCCTAGAGAAGAAGATCTAAGTCTTGAGTTAATTGCACACAGGATGGCTCTGGCGGGAGGTAGAAGCCAGAAGCCAGAGTTCACAAGATTTTGAAGAGGACCGAGTGACAGCATCTGGGCGGAATGGGACAGAGGGAAGGTAGTGAAAGTTGAGAATATAGGATATATTCAGAATATAGGATTGGGATCAAAAGATTCGCTCAAAGCCCCCTTGGCCTACATTTCATCGAAATACAAAGGAATGGGCACAGACACTGTGAGGAACTCTTTACCTGTAAGAAGGCACGAGGAAGTCTAAATGCAGGAAAATGAGGATTTGTGGCGCCAGGAGGAAATATAATATAGTGGCAAATGAAGGAAGATGGAAATAAATCATTCAGAATGTTCCAAGAGGATGTTTTGTGATGGGAACAGACTCAGAAACTGACACACTGAAAGAGTAAGTCAGTGACTTGTGGACTTGTGGAAAGGGAATGGCAGTCATGAGCCGGCTTCTGTGCCAGCTGAATTTACCAAGAAAATGACAGAATTAAATGAATCCAGGGAAGGTACAAGTAGGAAGAACAAGAGAGAGAGAAAGAGAAACAGACAGACAGACATGCGGAGAAGGAGCCCCCCAAGGAGTCACTGTCCTGATTTGTGACAACATTGAAATTTCTGTTCCAGTCCATGTGCTCCCTTAAACACAATCCCCTATTCTGCAGGAGATCTGAGGATCTCCGTTTCTGCAGCCCAGAGAGCTTAAAGTGAGAATCCCAGTTAGGGTGGAGGGTTTTTATTAAAATGATACATTGAATGAAGGGGCTTTACATTCATCATGGGAATTATTCCTTGTCACTCCCCATGGGAGAGAAGGCATCACGCCATGCCCTTGACAAGGACACACCCCGAGCCAGGGGGCTAATAACGATTGGTCTGAGCCAGTCATGCAACACGGCAACCCCACTCACTGGGCCAGCGCTGGATCTAAGTGTAAACATGTGACTTGATCCTGGAAAATGAGCCAAGAGGCAGCAAAAGGCTTCCAGAAATTCTTTTCCTCCAGATAAGAGAAAAATCCTCTCTGCTCCTTCTCATCCTTCCTGCCTTGGATTCAGTTACGTGAGGATGTGATGCTTTATGTCCCAGGGAGGGGGGCATGAGAAGGCTCGGGGAGTAAGAGCTTTCCAAAGGCTCCCCAAACCCAAAAGAATCAGCCCTGAAACTGTTCTCTCCCCATCACAGGATGAAAATAGTCATTTTTAAGGCCCTACTCATAGGGAATTAAATTCCTTTAAAGTAAATGCTGTCCTATTGGACAAAACCTTTATATACTACTTCTACAGAAAATGCAAACTAAGATTTAAGGAAATAGTTATAAAATTGCCAAAGACTGCACATCTAGCAATATGGAAGATGTAACTGGAAATTCTGGTTGCCCCTTCCTTCCCATGAGACCAGGGTTTCTCAGCCTCAGCACTGTTGACATTTGGGCAGGGCAACTCTTTGTTGAGTAGGCTGCCCTGTCCACTGTGGAATAGGTAATGACATCCCTGGATGCCTCTACCCTCCAGATGCCCCAGGATCTGACAACCAAAATTTCCGCAGACATTGCTAAATGTCCCTGGGGACACCTCCAGTTAGGAACCACTGCATTAGACATCTTCTCCCCATCCCTCCCTTTGGGCACTGGTGTAAGATAACAGGGCCTTAGGCAAAGAAATGGACGGCATCAATGTTTTCCTCCCAAATATATGGATCGGTAAAAATGGGCTCACATATCAGTGACAGATGAAAAGAGAAGAAGAATACAAAGTAAGTGACAGCTCATGAAGGAATGAAGAGAAATGAGGTAGAAAAACAGAACAGTTACAGTAATAAAAACACTGGAAAGGAAATGCACTCAGCAAATCATTAATGGGAGGATACAGAGAGATAATTCTGCAGGATGAGAATGTAGGCTTTACTTTTCAGCCATGGGTAGGGTAGCTGCCTTCTTTGAAAGGCACAATTTTTAATTCAGAGACATTGCTGTTGGTTCTGTTAAATTCAATGCAAGAAGAGCTTGTGATATTCAGAAAAGCATGCAGGCTTCCTGCATTGCATTTAACCATAGGCTTGTTTTGATCATGAGTATAGTAGTATCAGAATCTGCCTTGGAAATAGTGTAGATCCATGAATAACAGGGTAGGTTCTGCTGCTTTACTTCTGTGTATGAGTAGGTATTTTTATATTTCCTTAGCTATCCTTAAACAGACATCAGATATAAAACTATCTAGAATAAATTATCTGTAGTGCTATCTTCTAGGTCTCTGCCTAGTGATTTTTCTATTTGGGGTATGTGCTTTATATCATTAAATACTAAGTCATAGTAAAACACATACCATGTCTATATGTAGATAGTCTAGTGTATGCTATCCACTGTGCTGAGTGATGTGCGTTTATTAACTCCTTGAACCTTACCAACACCCTTGTTATATATATCCCATTTCACAGGGAGGACAACTGAAACTCAGATGAGGCTCAATTTACTCGAAACCATACTTTAAAAGACCCAAGGTCATTCACGACAAACTGAGTCCAGAGACTGATCTCAGCCACTTCATTCCATAATGTAATTCTTAGATCATTCTTTGGTGACAGTCTCATGGAAATCAGCTTCATGTACTTTTACCCCCAATTCTGTAACAGCAAAGTTCTTCTCGCCTAGGAAATAACTGATTTCCAAGAGCTAGCTAAGGAAGATGTACATTTTGTTAACAAGCAAAATCCACAATCTCATTTCAATACATTCATGTGCAATTAAATTAATTCCCAACTGACCCAGGATGGAGATGCATTTGCTATGTACAGAGGTTCCTGGAGCATATCTTCAGGCTTCTACTGTACTCCAGCCATCATTTTCTTATAACAACATCAAAATCTCATATTTTCTATTTGGGCATTTTTTCAGAAGTTAAAAGATCTTCCTTTATTTTCAAAGTTTCACATACCTTTTATCAGAGATTGTAACAGAACGGATATTTATATGCTCCGATCTGTTATGACATCAATCTAATATCATCCCTAAGTCCTTCTCTATAAATGAATTACACAAAGGAAACACAGCACCTTTGAAGGGAACTAAGCTCAAGTTCTCTGTGGTCTCTGATAAGATGGGCAAATAGAGGCAATCTTTATTTATTGCCTCGGAGTCACTTTATAGAGTTCTTTTCTCTATGAAGTGGCAGCAACTATGTCTACTTTTGAGGGTCATCATTAACATTAAATGAGACAGCCCATTAAAAATTGCCTAATATGGCACTGAATATACAGTCTAGACACACAATTAACCTTAGTTCTATTTTCCTTCTATTAAAGTAGACTTTTCCAAGTCTTACACAACATGTTATATAAGTTAATGTATATAAAGTATTTAGTATGAGAACTGATGGGAAGCAAATGCTCACTGAATGCCACGGATTATCCCAGAATCTCATCCCTATTTGTAAATTATATTGTGCAAGAGAACAACAGGAAACATCTTGTGGGGTCAACGACTGTGTTATATTTGTTAAAAAAAAATAGTAGATTTCATTACACAATTTATAAATAGTATTTCACCTGCTATCTGAGCATAATTTGCAGGGTTACTACCAGATCAAATTGGGCCCACCTGCAGGCTGCTGCCTTGGGGAGATGCTAACAGCTGTGAATGGCAATGCCTTGTAGATCAGAAGAACTGGGTCTAAAACCTGATTTCTTTCCCAATGTAGTTTTACAATCTGTGTAAACCCTTTAGACTCCGGTGTATGGGGTTGCCATCTACATGAGGGCTTTGGGTTCCATCATTGCTAAAGTCCTCTGTCACTCTAAAGAAGCAAATTATGCATCGTAGCTTGAGAATAATCCTATATTGTGAGATTTACTTGGTCTATGTATTTTCCTAGTTATTGAATGATACATTTCGAAACAGGAGCTCATCATATGATATGATATGCTGGTAACCATGTATCCACAAAGGATGCAGACTGTATTTACTCATAAAGCCCAGACAGAGTCTTCAAACTGTACTATCCTTGTTCAGCAACACTACAAGTTATGCAGAACATACATATTTTTTTGCATCATGCTAGATACTTTGATTTAGATTTTGTTCAAGCACTTCAAATCTATTAAACTGAGAACAGTGTTTTCAATTATATTTACATAGCAAACAGTGCTTTAATCAACAGTCAGTCAACTATTGTCCTTTTTTCCTGGACAACAGAAATCCATAAACATTTTTAAATAGTGACCTTTCAGTGGAAAATAGGTCTTAAGTTCCTAAGTTGCTGGGAAGATTCTGGGGTCCCATGGGCAACTTGAACTCTCTGGAGAGCACAGGATCTAAGCAGCAAATGGCAGCCTCTGAGTGAGGTTTGACTGGGAAACTAACTTTGGGGAACTCAGCTGCACTACATTGTTTGTCCAAGGTTTGTGAAGATTTCCAAGGCAGGTTCCCACAAGAGGGTTCAATATCAGCCTCAGCACATTCAGCATCCCTCTAACCTCACTGAACTCCACAAAATGACGTCGTCTCATTATTCAGCTTGGGCTTTTATACTGGATAGAAGCAGTGTTGGTCTCATTTAAAAATCTCTCAGCTTCTAAAACTTAATCTCTTTTGGCTAAAGATATGTAGATAAAAAGGTTATTTTGCTGATTATACGATTTTATGTATTTTTAAAATCTCTGGAATCAGCCTGCATTTTGCATTCCATGGAAGCATTTTTTTTCTTTTAATAAAACAGTAGTATACTTTACAACCAGTGGCATATCTAAAAGGATGAAATATGGTAGATTTTGCCAATAAAATTAAATCTTTCTTTCATTTCAGTCAAAAATAAAAAATAAGATTAAAAAATTCCATTTTTAATAGCCTTTAAAAACAACTAAGTTAAGACCGCTTTATATAAATGCTAATAATTTTCAACTAGTTCATTTTTTTCTAAGACACAGATTGTTAGAAAAAGATATATAATTAAAATAGTAGATGAGTTACACAAAACTTCCCATTTTCTACCTTGTAGTCTACATATATGAGAAAAACATATTGTTTTGCTTCCTGAGGAATCTATTCTCTGTTGTTGCATGTTTTCCATATTGTTAACTTACAAAAAGTGCATCTTGATATGACACATTCCATAGGGTGAAAGGACAGGAATGTTTTGTATAAGGAAATCACCTCGAACAAGAGATAAAGAAGGACCTTATGTGTTTTCCAGAGAGTGGGTCAAAAATCACATCTCAGCTACAATTTTAAAGCAGAGAAGGTGGCAGGATGGCTTCAGCCCCAGGGCAGATACACATCACCCTCTGACCTCCCCGAGTTTACAAGAGAAATGTTCCTCTCAGCAGCAGTGACAACTTCAGTAACAACCCTCTGCTCACTTCTTAAATATTGGATCATCTCCACTTTGGACTGTAGAAATATACAAGACACAGATTTGTTATAAACCAAGTGGCGGCATGTGTATTTTCCATTACATAAGTAAGCATGTCTCAGATATCCAGTAAAACAGCCACGGAGCCTAGACCATGGCCTCATTGCTTAAGAAGAACTGCTATTATAGTCATTTGTGCTTTTTACCTTTAAAATTTTAAGGTCAAATATCTAAAAGATGGTGTGCTGATTCTCCTAAAGTGCATGTCTGTACATTAGGGCTGCAATTCAGAGACTGAACGTTGTTCTCTCTTAGCTGCAAGAATGGAAGGTGAACAACACTGTCCTGCTTATCGAGTGTTGGTCAGAAATGAAAAGGAACTTAAAACACTGGCATTTTTCAAATTAATTTCAAGAGATGCCACAGACATGTTTGCTCCTAAAATCAGAGCTCTGAAGCAATAATCCAAAGGAAAGGGCTAGCAGCTAACCCCCATGCAAAGATTTGCTCAGAGCATAGAAGAGGTTATAAATTCACCGTTGTACCAAACAGCCTTGATCTTGTGCCAACATGGGGAAGGACACTGGTTTTAATAGCCCTGGCCTTCCTCGTGTAGCTGCCTGATTTTCCCACTTACAAGTGGAAGGATATCTTCATGGACATGGGTTTAGATAATAGAATTAGCAGGCCCCTTGATAGGAAGCAGACCTACAGTTCACATGCCTCGGGCAATTCTGTATTGAAGAAACAGCACAGATTTCAAATCACAGAATGTGTCACTTCCCTGCTCAGCACTGTCTTGCAGAGGAATGCCAGAACTGACAGTCACAGAGATTAGCAGTTCTGTGACAGCAAAGTAACTTAATTTGCAAATGTGTGGAAGCTAATAGCTGTTGATCATATTCTTGGGGGGAAAAAAAGAAAGTGAGATTATTTAATTATGGGTTAAAAAGACAAAGGAAAAACAAACAAACAAACAAAAAATAAACAACTCAGCTGGTTCCCAGAAGTGAGTATGCAAACAATTCAATTGGCAAAAGAAAATGTGGACTCTGTTCTCTTGGATTCAGATTCTGACCCAAATGCAAGCGAGCTTCTCTTCATTCTGCAGAATTCACCATGGGAATGAATGTACATTCAACTGTTTCTCCCAGACTTTGCTGTGACCCTGAGCAGAATCTATGAGACTGTCCCACATGGGGTTCAATGGTAATATCCTTTAGTTCATTCATTTAAAAGCTCTACTTACATGGGCTTCTGGAATGATGGCTCCCAAAGGAAATAGATGTGTGTGGAAGGTACTATTTTATTAATGCTGCAAAGGGTACAATAGTTCACAGCAAACTCTGGAGATAAAACTCCAAGAATAAAACAGAGATATTACATCCCATTTTCAAGCCAGTATTGTTTTCTCATAAGACACTTCTCTTCAAAATAGACAAAAAGCTTCTGCCATTATCCTATGTGGCTCTTGTGCATGTTAAGAGCAGAGTGAGTTTAGAGAACACAGACAGGTTGTGTCGAAAAGGTTTGAAGATAAAAATGGGTAGATGTCATTCAAGCTCTGGTTAGGACCAAAGCACTGTGGGGCTACTGTGGACAGTGTGTCCAGAGGACCGAGAACGCGGACACTTACCGGGCAGGCGGCGATGGTCTGCTCCCACTGAGTCATGCTCAGGCTCTCCTCTAGGCTGGTGCACTTCTTCATCACCACGTCCCAGCCACAGTAAGGGTCCTGGGCCCCGATGCAGGCGCTGCAGACACACACCCGAGGGTCAGTAGAGAGGCAGCATAACTGAACTAGGATGCAAACTAAGGCATGCCTGGCCCTTATAACTTGACATGGGAAGTAATTATGAAAAACAAATTTCAATCTGTACACACTTGGAGGTAACCAATTAAAATTAAATAACTACTTTTCATCAAAACACCTTTATTTTCCCTAAGATAGAGGGCAGATGACTAAGTGACTATCTGTGCCAACATGAACCTTTTGGTGCCATCAACAAAGATAAAGTCAGAATTCTGCAATGCTCAAAAATACCAGTTGTTTGTATCACCACCACCATCATCAACACTATTTGTTGAAAACCTACTGTGATATGTCGAATTATCTCATTTAGACACAACATGTATAGGGAGGTATTATTATTATTATTAACACATTATCATCACCATAATCATCATTACCATCATCAATATCAACAATATCATAACTATCATCAACACTTTAATAACAGTTACCATTTGTTGAATGCCTACTGTGATATATCAAGCTATTACATATTTAGACACCTAAAAAACTGTAATGGGGGAGGTATTGATGAAACAACAAAGAAAACAAAGATACAAAATTTATGAAATGGGCCCAAGGACAAGAAAGTACACCAAAACCCTGTGATGTGGTAAGTTCAAATTTAACAATAGTTTAATATAGCGGTCTATAATATTCAACATATTATTCAGTACTACTGTAGGTGGCGGACATTTTATTTTAGCTTTGTCTCAGTGAAGGAGTTAATATGCAACCTGGTATTTTCAGATGAAGACTTTGGTCCCTGTGTTATAAATACAGCAGAAGGCAGATTTGGGGATGGAGCAAGTAGACGGAGGTAAGTAAGTCACAGAGCCAGAATTATACAGAAGGTCCCTCCACAGGAAAACAGGGCATTGAACTCCTGGGCATTCTCTCTCTAAAGGGGCTAAGAGGTGGGTACAGCATGGAACTCTAATATTTTTGTAGAGTTAGAAGGGAGAATATGTTATAGTTGTCAATTAGTCAAACATGGGACCAGTGAGGTAGTATAAATAATAATCTGGTTAATATTAATGATATGGAACAACCCTAATTAATACACCAAATATGTTAACCATGTGTAAAGCACTGTTATAAAAACCTCACCTCGAATAGCTCATTTAAAACTCACAGAACCTTATAAACATAGTACCTCAATTAGATGTCTCCCACTTTAAAATGAAGAAACTGAAGCAGAGAAAGGCAAAGTCTCAAAGCTGGAGAAGAGACATCTAAAGACAGTAAATGAAGCAACAGAGAAATAAAATTATTATTTAACTTACTATGCGTTATTATTTATTAACCACCTAAAAAGTTCAAACAAGAAATGGTTAGAATTGGGGTTTTGCACAGCAGGACGAAGCTGAGGTGGGAAGGAGTATGAAACAGTGATCTGTCACTGTTGCCTCAACAGAACTTTTTGATAAGTGACTGCGCACATGTTAAAAGGTACACTAAGACACATTAAATTTTTCAAGGGTTTATTTTAGCAAACATGAATGCTAATTGAGCAGCATTGAACTGAAAGTGGTTAGGAGGCTCCACAGATAGGATCTGGGGGAGATGCTTTTATAGAGAAAATATGGAAGCAAACCAAGGAAATTACAAGATTGGCTCCAGCTTCAGTGGCTGCCTTATTTGGGAAAGGCTGATTGGCTGTGTGTGAATGGCTGTTCTTAAGTTTACTTAGATTCTGGCTTAGATTTTGGTTTGCTTACACAGGCTACCAAGGCACTGCAAGCCAATGGCCTCCTTGTTTAATTACTTTAACATACATATATTATTAATACTTCCATGCAAAAAAAATCAAACTAAAACAGTAATAAACAGCAAAGTAAAAGCCTTCCTTCTCCAGAAGGAGGCACTGTTCACATACATATTTAGGAGATAGTGTTTCTATACAAAGAAGCATGCATGTGTGGATATATACCTGTATTACATGTAGTCTAATATAGTTCTATATTATTGCTGTTTATATAGACAACAATTGGATGTAACACATGCAAAAGGGACTGTACACACAGACTCATGTTGGACTTTTTTACACATAATTATATATCATGGCACTTTTTCTTACAGTAAATACAGCTCTACCATGTTCCCTTTAATATCTGTGTAGTATTCTGTTACCTTGATGAACCAACATTTATTTAAATCCTTGAGAGCAAGGCTGAAATGCACATTTTTGTACATATTTTCTACATGATAAAACTCCATTGATGATTAAAAGTTACAGGTTTTAATAATTTTGTACCAATCAACAGTATGACAGGTACCTCTTTTTCCTTTCTCTGTTTCAGATATAGCCTTTAAAAAATAGCTTAGTTCTTCCTGATAAATGAAAATCCAATTTTCTAGTCATCTGTTTTATTTAGTTGTGAGATGAAGACGTAGAGCGTGTGTGTGCAGTTATTGATTATCTGTATTTCTATTTGGGTATACATCTATTTATAACCAATTCCTGCTTTTGTTTCTTTTTTACTGGGTCATTGGTTTTAGTCTTTTTATGTGGCCACTGGCAGCAAAAATTTCTGTATTAAAAAAATTAACCCTCTGTCAATAGCATTTCCACTGCTTTCTCCACTTGTCACTAAATATTTTTTTATTGAGATAAAAATGTTTTAAATTTTATGCAGTAAATTTTATTAATCTTTTCCTTCACAGCATCTGGATTTTATGCCATATTTAGAAGGAGCTGCCATTCTTAAAAAATCATGAAAACATTTACCCAGGATTTCTTATGATTCTTCTGATGAATCACTTCATTTGTCTCTGTATCTTTTATTTTTATATTTATTTTTAATTATTTTATCTTTACCCAAAGACATGCTTCTTGATTATAGAGAGAGGGGAAGGAAGAGAGAGAGAGAGGGAGAGAAACATCAATGTGAGAGAGAAACAGAAATCAGCTGCCTCTTGTACGTGCACTGACCGGGAGAGAACTTGCAACCTAGACTGCGACCTTTTGGTTTACAGGCAACATTCAACCAACTGAACGACACTGGCCAGTGCTACTCACATATCTTTGATCCATCTGAGACATACTTTAGTAACTTTCCTTCCTCCACTCCAAAAATATTAAAAAACAAAAACATATATTTTAAATCTAAATTATTCGAACTTCAGACCAACATAAGCAGATTCACAGCTTCTAAGAAAGGAAGCTGTGTAGGGTATCCTTTCCTGTTTTCTATTAGATTAAGATAACATCTTTTCAAACACAAGTTTAGGTCACAATGTGTGAGCACCGGCTTTTAAAAATCTCTTCTTCTTGAGGTTTGGAATATAATTTCTAATAATTTATTCTTTTAAATAAAAATTCATTTTAATAATCAGTTTTGCTGAATAAAATTTCATCTATATTTATGGTATATAAAACAAAGCCCAAATTTTTCAATTTTAAAAACTCACAATTTTTGAGACACAATTATTGATTTAATAACATCTTTTTCTTTTTTTCTTGTCTTTTTTTTTTTTACAGGGGGTAGGAAAGATGAGAACTAATGACTGCATAAGATCAGTGAAAGTGCACATTTTATATCTATGAAATAAGATTATTTCATATAATGGAGCCAGGTCCGAGGACAACAAATTCTCCCAACTAACTCTACCTGTGCAAAAAGTTGTTCTGTAGGAAAACGCCCAGAGGAAATTTACTTCAACTGCAATGCAACCTCTAAGACAGACCTGGGCGAAGGTGGGAAATAAGAACCTGCCTGCTGCTGCAGCCTCCCGAGGCTGGGACACTGGAATCTGACCCCAGTGCCCTGGTCTTACCCATGGCCTGGGTGACAGAATGCAGTGTGTATCACGGGAACTCCCATGTCTGAACCATTTTCAGGTTGGCGAACAACAGGGCAAAGCTACACTTACAGAAATGATTCAAAAAGCCTGAATTCCTGATCATGTTTCTTATTAAAGTCACATAAGACAAAATTAAAACCATGAAAAGGGGAAAAATTCCTCCATTTCCCTAACTTTGCCCCAATCTTCTCCTTGTAAAGCTACCTGGATAAATGAAACAATGCCGCAGGGTTATGCAGAACATTTTAAGCTGTTTTAAGTGAAAAGCTTCACTTACAGTGATATGCAACCATCCCTTTCTTCCCATAATGCTGCCAGCTCTGCAAGCTCTTAACATTCCACTTCTCCCTTTAAGTGTTAAAGCTTCTCTACAAACACAAATGCCCAGCCTTTAATAATACCATTTATATATATTTTTCTCACTTAAAATATTCCAAACCCTGGGTGAAATGCTGATCAGCTCTATCTTTATTCTTAATTATACTTTAAGAAAAATGAGTCATCATAACATATTTTTTAGAAGGTGGGTCTTTCAAAGAGACCATGTGGAAAATCACAGACCGAACTGTTAACCATCACAAAAGTGGCTTTTCTTTATTCTACTTGGAAAATGTTTTTTGGTTTTTTTTGTATGATGAACCTTTTTAATTTCCTTATTTTGTGAATAACCTTAGATTATTCTTATTTGAAATATTGCTCTGGTATTTGAAATTCTGCAAATTCAGAAAACATGGCAATCAGAATCTGAAGGGTTAGTTTGAAGACACATTTATTGAGAGTATGTTGTAGAGTTAAATGTATACTTAGAGTCAGGCCTTAATTCTAGAAAAAGGATAAACTACTTGCCTTTCTACTGGATATTTATACTAATATTTATCTAAACTTTTCCTGTACATGTTAAAGTTAGCAGTTATGCTATTTGCTAATCTGAGTAATAGGAAAATAGGTATATTCATTAAAATCTTTTCACTGTACTTCTGTAAAATTAGAGCTAATCACTGAGTATGATCCCCTCACATATTAGCTTGCCTAAGTATAGATAACTTTATCTGGCTTGTTTTTGTCACACTAATTGTCATTACATCAGTTTATTTTTGATGTTAAGAATTTTTGCCATATTATCAAAATGTATCCATTAAACACAGGATGGTAAAA